AAACCTGGGTCAGCCACGAGCAAGGCAAATGCCCTACCCTCTGTACTATCGCTCTGGGCCAGGATCAATTTTACTTAACAAAAGCCAAACTCCACAGCAGCGTCATTTACACGAAAGCCTTATATCTTATATCTGAAGAGCGTAATGCAATGTTCAAAATTAAGGCTAAAAATGCAAATGTGCTGCCACGCACGACCCCCGGGCTTTAGTACATTGTCCCCACCCTCCTCTGCAATGAGGTGACCCCTCAGGTCGATTGATCCTGAACCCCGCCCCCCCTTCCAGTTGTCCGGTTCCTCAGGAGCCAACACCCCATCTCTGACGCGCTGGGGTGCAAACTGCCCCAACAGGCGGCATCAACCTCCCCGCTCCTTGCAATCAGTGCTTCAGCTCTGCGCCTGCCCCGCCCGGGGGTGGGGGGTCCCATGACCCTCGAAAGGCGTCCCCTCAGCTCCCTGAGAAGGACCCCGCGGCCCAGAGCGGCCCGCGAGCCCCGCCCACCCGCCCGCTGCGTTCTAAAGGTGCCCCCCAGGGAACAATGGCCAGTCTCTGCTGAGGGCACGCAGGGCCCGCCCGTGCCCCTCCGCCCGCTCCCTTGCCGCCCAGTGCCCCCCCAGCAGCGCCTCCCCACGCTCCCGCCCTCAACCGCCCGCCTCCCAAAATGGCGCCCAACCGCCTGCTTTCCCGCCCGCTGCGGGTCACCTGACTGCGCCGGCCCCGCCTCCAGGCCCGTGGCGCCTGCGCGGTCGCGCCTCACGCGCCAGAGCCCGGGCGGCTCGAGGCGCGCGCGAGGCGACGGGGCGGCGCCGGGCGGGGGCCGTGTCGCGCGCGCGCGCCCACGCTGCGGCCCCGCCGGGTGCTCCGGGGGTCGGCCGGGCTGCGCGTGCGCGCCCCGAGCGCGAGCGGCGCGGGCTGGGCGGGGGCCGCTGGGAGGCCCGCGAGGCGCGAGGCCCGGCGGCGCGCGAGCCCCCGGGGCGGGTAAAACCCGGTTGCTGCTGCCCTTACCCCCTCCCCTTCCTTCCTACCCCCCCTTTCCCGCCCCACTCCTCACTTTTCAACCCCTCCCCCCTTCAAAAACCCTAATTTGTTTCTCTCTTTCTCTTTTAGGGGGGCGGGCCCCGTTACCCCTGTTGAGGGGCGCAGCAGGCGCGGCGGGTGCCGCTGCCCCTGCGTCACGCACGCACCTTCTGCACCCCAACTGCTCCGGGCCCCGCTGCAGCCCCGCAGCCCTCTGCCCCTTGGAGTGGGCTCTCGTCAGGGACCCTCGGCCGCTGCATCACCTTTTCTTTTCTTCCCGGTCCCCCGAGGCCCTAACTGCCCCCGGCAGCTCCCCAGCTCGCGCCGCGGGCCCTACCCGACCTCAGCGCTTTCTGCATCTCGGCCTTGCACAGGCCCCGCTGCTCGCTCGCTCGCGTTCCTCATTCCTGCCCAGTTGGCCGACCTTGGGGAACCCAGATTTGTTTCTTGTTAGGATAGTCGAGCAAAGGCCCCCTCCTCCCCTGGGGGGGGAAAAAGCTTTCCCATCTCCCTTGATTACTCCCTTCCTCCTTTTTGAGGCACTTTGCTCTAGCAAAAATACTTTCTAGATTTTTCCTTTATTCTGAAGCAACTTTCAGCAGACGTTCTTTCTTCACACCCAGAGACTCCCCCTATTTGGAGGATCTTTACACATCATAAAAAGTTCCATCCTCCCAGCTTTTCCTCAGATCTTCGTATTTTTAACTCTCTGTTCGGCTTCTTCTATATATATATATATATATATATATATATTTGTAATAGAATATATATATATACATATATATCATGCCTGTTCACCCCACTTCCACAGTTCCCTTCCGTGGATGTGTGGGAGATAAGGAGAGGAAAGAACTGTTCCCTTAGCCACAAACCCTTTCCCCAACAAGATCCTTTCAGTTTGGTACTGCTTCCTTCCTTCCTTCCTTCCTCCAAAAATCACCCTGTCCCTCCTACTCTCACTCCCAATTTTACACCCGCTTCTGGCTTCTTTAGCAACCCTAGTGTTGACCACCCCTTCCTTTCCACCACCTGCTTTCAGACGAAAAGAAGTTGACTGCGTGTTCAGAATCCACCACCCTGCGATCCACGAGGAAATACCCAGGGGTCTGATTGTCACCAGAATCCCTCTCCCCGTGAGGGCGGGGGGGAGGCCTCCACTGGGTCCTTCTGTTCCCTGGAGATTCATTCCTGCACTTGCTCCTCTCCTGGTGAGTTTTCTCCCTTTTGCACTTGTCCAAAGACACAATCCCCTGGGCCTGCTGAAGGGATGTAGATGCTCCTTAGGTTGATGCCTATGTCCTTATTTATTGCATGCCACTTTTGCCTTTTCTGGCATAGATGCCTCCAGGAGATGGGCCGGGAACCATCAATTGTATGCCTGGTCCATGGAATGCTAGCTAGTGAAAAGTCTTTCCATTCTTGAAAAATAGATTTTTTTTTGTTTATTTTGGGGTCTCAGCAGGTGATGCTCAGGAATTACTCCTGGCTCTGCACTCAGGAATCTCTCTGGGCAGGGCCCAGGGGACCATAAGGTATGTTGAGGATTGAACCTGGGTCGCAAGACAAGTACCACTGTGCTATTGCCCTGGCCAGTGATACTCAGGGTTCCTCTTGGCTTTGCACTCAATTATTCCTTGCAGAGTGATCCCTGAGCTCAGAGCTATGAGTAAGCCCTGAGCCTGCCATATGTGCCCTACCCCCCCCCAAAAAAAAAAGAATTACTCCTGGTGGTGCTTGGAGGACTGTATCAGATGCCAATAACCAAACCCAGATTAGGCCCCTTCTAGCAAGCTCCCTACCTCCATCCCCCGTTTTTTTTTTTTTAAGAAATCAAACACTCTCATGGGAAAACCCCCCCCTTTTTGCTTTATTTTATTTCTTTAATATTTGGTTTGGGGGCCACTCCTTGCAGTGCTCAGGGCTTACTTCTGGCTCTGTGTGCAGGGATCACTCCTGGAGGGGCTCAGGGGGATTATCTGGCTACCAAACCTGGGTCAGTTGCATACAAAGTAAGAGCCTTACCTTCTGTTATCCAGTCCCATGTCTTTTGATTTTTAAATTAAAGTTTTATTTTCAGCAAAAACTAATTTAGTAAATATGAAGGATGATGTGAAGTCCTTGGAAAGTACATCTACTGACTTGAAACTTCGGCTTCAGTTTTTGTTTTTTGCTTCTTAGTGGTTGTTAGACATACATCCACAAATACAGACATATTTGGGCATGTGGGGACTCAACATTTTATCCTTTTTAGACCAGCAGTTCTGTTTTTGTTTGGGGGCCACGCCCTGAACACTCAGGGTTTACTCTCCTGGTTCTGTGCTCAGGGATCTTTTGTGGCTTCAAAAGTGACTTCAGCCCACTTTTTGTGGACTTGGGACCCCATATGGGGTGATGAGGATCGAACCTGGGTCAACCACATGCAAGGCAAACGCCCTCATTCTTGTCCTAGAGCAGCAATTCTGAGGCATTTGGATCTTAGGACCCCTTTACCCTTAAAAATTATTGAATACTCGGCCAAAGCAATAGTACATCCAGTAAGGTTCTTGCCTTATGGCTGAATCATGATCAATCCCTGGCATTCCATATGGTCCCCTGAGCCCACCAGGAGTGATCCCAGTAGTGCAGAGCCAGGAGTAAGCTCAGACCATCACTAGGTGTGGCCCCCAAGCCAACATATAAATAGAATAATAATATTAAGCAGCTAAAATAATTTGTGTGCATGTGGGATATATCTGCTGACATCATTGCTATTTTAAATGTTTAAAATTGTGGTTGATGATATTAATTTTATTTTATTTTTAAATTTTTATTAGTGAGACAGATATTTGTTAATTTTAAAGTAGCAATAATAACTTAATGTATGTTAACATTATTGTTATTTTTATTTAAAAAAATTTCGGGACAGGACTGGAGGGATAGTACAGCAGGCAGTACATTTACTTTCCTTGCACACAGCCAACCTGAATTTGATCTCCAGCATCCCATGTAGTCCCCTGAGCATGCCATAAGTGACACCTGCGCACTGCCTGGTGTAGCCCAAAAACAAACAAACAAACAAAAATCTTTATCGGGGCTGGAAAGTGAGCTCAGTGGACTGAGTGCATGCTTTGCATGCAGGAGGTCCAGATTTGGTTCCCCGACCCATATGGTCCCCTGCACACCGCTGCAAGCAGTCTCTGAACACTGCCTGATGTGAGCCCAGAACAAAACAATCAGACAAAACAAAACACTCCTAGATACCAGAGGGAAAGTTGGTGAGAACCATGGCATTCTTTTACACTTTTAAAATCATCTGGATTCTCATATCTGCTTCTGCCTTCTGCTGCTTGAGATCTGGCATTAAGCCTCTGCAAAATTTTCCTGAAAATGGAAAAGCCGAAATCCAAGTATTATTAGGAAATTGATTTTGATCTCTCTCTGACAGACTTGTGAGGTCTGTTCCCTGTATACCTCACTAGTGAACATGGTTTTATAAAATTTAAATGCTTAGTTGCTTTTTTTTTTTTTTGCTAGGATCAGCTTTTGAAATGAAATTTTTATCTTTGGTTCTGGAACCACACCTGGTGGTGCGCAGGCCTTACTTCTGGCTTTGCACTCAGGGATCAGTCATGGCATGCAAGTCAAGCACCGTTCTTGCTGTGCTATCACTCTGACCCCAAACCACTTTGCTTTGGACTGTTGAGTAATACCCATTGCCCCAACATTTGAAAGGCAGTACAGCTGTTTCTGGTTTGGGGCATAAAGCTGCACAGATGTGTGTGGGAGCATCTGGTAAGATGCTTCCTGCTGGGGTTCGAAGGGAGGGTCCAGTGCGGAGGGCACTGGCCTTGCATGCACCTGCCCTGGTTCAGTCCCTGGCATCCCATCTGGGCTCCCTCCTGGCTTCTTTGCAGGCACCTGCGTGCATACTCTCCCTGCTGACTCCTTACTGTGCCTCCCTGAGCTGGGCACCGCCTTTGTCCAAGCCCCGATCACAGTGAGCCATGGACCAGTACAGTCTCGGCGACGAGGGGGCCCTTCCAGCAGAGCTGCACCTGCCCCCGTTCTCTGAGAACCAGAGCCTCAACTGCAGTGACCCCCTCAACCGCGACCTGGGCCCTGGCCCCCGTGACCTGCTCTACGCTGGCCTGGGTGGTTTGGACCTCGACCCCAGCCTGCCGGCCCCTGAGGTGCCCAGCGAGGCTCTGGAGGACAACCTGGACACCCTGTCCCTCTACTCAGGCAAGGACAGTGACCCCACAAAGCTGCTGGAGGAGTGTACTGACCCCGAGTCTCAGGCAGCCTTGCAGGGTGAGGCGCTGGCGGGTAGCTGGGACAGGGGGTGGGTGGGCTCAGCTTCCCTGCCCAGGAGGCTGAACCCTGATCCTAGGGAGCAGTGCTGAGAAACCTCGGGGGAGTACTCTGCTTTGAGGCCGACCCCAGCTTGCAGAGAGGCACTGTGAACATTTGAACCCATCTCTGGGGCATTCCTCTGCTGAGAGTGTCCAGTTTTCCTCCTTAATCATCGTGTTCACAAGCATTTGAAAAAGGAGGCTGGTAGGGGTAAGAGTGAGAGTCCAGCGGGGAGAGTGCGTGTCTTAAATGTGGCCCACCCAGATTTGAAGTCAGGCATGCCATAGGGTTTCCCAAGCACAGCCAGGCATGACCCTTGAGTGTGGAGATGGGAGTAATCCCTGAATACCTCCGGGTGTGGCAAAAAAAAAAAAAAGAAGAAGAAAAGAAAAGAAAAAGGAAAGGAATTAGGAGGCTCATGAGGATGGGAACCCTGACCTGCACCACCAGACCCCAATCCCATTTTCCTTATTCAGAACTATCTGTTGGCATCACCTGATCCCAGACATTCACTTAACTTGTGTAAGTGAGGTGAAGTGAGGGGACAAGTGACGTCCTGGAATGACATCGCCTCATTGCTTCTCTGTGTCCCATGTGGGTTCTCTGCCACCAAGGGGAGTCCAAGGAGCCCATGGTGCCTCCTCTGCAAATGTCCCCAGTTACCTGGGAAGTCTGAGCTGTCTGTCTCGAGTTCTCGCCCCCTTCCCCCTGGAGACACCGTTAAGGCCAGAGCGACAAGGTAGCACAGTGGTAGAGCTTTTGGCCTTACACGTGCCCCATCTAGGCTCCATCCCCAGCACCTCAAATGGTCCTCCCTGAGCACCACCCCCATGTTTGGGGACTCCAGCCACCCCAGAGCTTCCCAGCTTCCTCACCTGTTCTCAAGTGGCATGGCTGGTTGAGATGGCTGGAGGTGGAACTGGGATGTATGACAGAGTGGCACAGAGCTGGGTCTGTGGTGCACATTCCTCCTTGCTGCTTTCCCACGTGACAGATTTGCATGCTCGGGTTGCCGCCCTCTGCTAGCGCAGTGCTGCTGCAGTCCCCTCTCACCTCGACAGCTCTCTTTTCTTTTTTCTTTTCCTTTTTGTGGGGGCATACCCACCAGTGCTCAGAGTTTACTCCCAGCTCTGCGCTCAGGAATCACTCTTGGAGTGGCCCAGGGGACCCTGTTTGGTGCTGGGGATCAACCCTGGGCCAGCTGCGTGTAAGGTGAGCGCCCTGCCAGGTATACTATGTCACTGCGGCTCTGTCTGGCCTGTTCTCTACGTGTCGTCAGTGATGCTGATAGCAGAGATGCTGGCGCCCTGCTGCCACCACCTCCCTGTCCTGTTGTCCAGTGTTTCCCCAGGAAACTCTAAGCTACAACTGCCCACTGAGGGTGGGGAGGATTGGCGCCTTCGCCTAGGACTCCATGTCTGGGCCCCCTTTCCTGCAGGCTCTCTGCCCCTGCAGACAAGCTGCTGCGGGTGGGTTGGGGCCACCTGCCCACTCTCTTTTCTGCCATGCCAGAGCCCCGGGTGGCCCTTTAGGATGGACGTGATGACCCGAGCTTCCTCCCTCCATCTAGACCTGGGGCTTGGCATGCTGAAGGCCCCGAAGGAGGCTGAAGAAGGTGGCAGGGCGGCCTCGGGCAGTGCCCGGAAGGGCCGGCGACAGCACAGCTCCCCACAGAACCCACTTCTGGACTGCAGCCTGTGTGGAAAGGTGTTCAGCAGTGCCAGCTCGCTCAGCAAACATTACCTGACGCACAGCCAGGAGAGGAAGCACGTCTGCAAGATCTGCAGCAAGGCGTTCAAGCGCCAGGACCACCTGTATGTGGGCTCATGCTGACCCGCGGCACCCCCACCCCACACCCCTTCTTACTGATCGTACCTTTTCTTGAACGGGCACGGCGCAGGGACATCCCAACACGGAAACTTTGGCCAAGATTTTCTTGAACCTAGTGGTGGAGCCTTGGCTTTTTAATTTTTCTCCCCAACTCTTGAATTGTATTTCTCCTTTTTGGGGGGGTTCTTCCAAGCTGTGCTCAGAAGGCCTATGGGACCCCTGCTCTGGCATCTCTTGATTCAGGGCAAGGCACTAAGGGTGCTCCAGGGATTCTCGGGCAACTGGAGGCCCTGGGCTGCACCCAGTGAGGCTCTGGGACCCTATGGAGCCGGGTCGGGTGCAGCATCCCTCTCCCCCGGTTCTGAGTGCCCAGGGGGACAATCAGCTTCGCTTGCTCCTTCAGGAACAATGAGACCCTTTCTGAGATCAGGAGGCTGGCCAGTGGAATTGGAGCTCCCAACCTGCACACTGACCAGTGACTTCCTAGCTGATTCCACCTGCTTCTCACTCTCCATCCAGATGCGGGAGAGGGAACTTCCACCTATGGGCTGATGCTGTCTGTGGGCCAGGCTGTGGGGGAGGTCTGCGCCCTATCCCCCTGAAGAGGGGGGCCCAGGGGCATTTTACACTTGTAGTTGTGTGGGTGGAAGTCGCTGGAATCAGCCGTGTGTGTGTCTTCACTTGTCAGAGTCACCTTTGGCTGCTTTCTAGAAACTGTTTATGCCTGCTAGGAAGTCTCTTTTGGGAGTTTTTCTTTCATTTTGGTTTTGGGGTCACACCTGGCAGTGCTCAGGGCTGACTCCTGGCTCTGTGTTCAAGGATCACTCCAGGCAGGCTTGGGGGCCCATAAGGAGTGCTGGAAATGGGATCCCAGTTGGCCACGTGCAAGCCAAGTGCCCTGCTCACTGGACAATCTCTCCGGCAGGCCCTTCTGAAATTTCTTAATTTTTTGCTGTGGGAGTGCTAGACAGTTTCCTCTCTGAGTGAAAGGCCCCCCTCCTCCACCCCCCATCTCTCCCCAGCTTAGAATTTTCTTTCGTGCTTTCTACTTTGTTTTGGGGCCACACCCAGTAGTGCTCAGTGGTAACTCTGCACTCAGGAATTACTCCTGGTGGTGCTTGGGAGACCATATGGAATGCCAGGGATCAAATTCGAGTCAGCTGCGTGCAAGGCAAGCGCCTTTCCCACTGTACTACGGGTCCAACCCCAGAATTTTTTTTGTTCTTGGAGTTGCTGAAAGGGCCTTTCTTCAGACAGAGGCTTTTCTGAGACATTGGGAGCCCCAGAAGCAGGTCCCCCCGCTCCTTGGGGCCCCCTGCTCCCTGCCTGGGAGCAGCCCTGCTGCCTGGTGTTCCCCGGGAACCCACTTTGGGGAGGGCCAGCCAGACTCCCTGGGGTTGCGTATTTTGCATCCCGCAGTGGGGGTTGGGCTGCTAACCACTGACTGCTCCCCCAGGACCGGGCACATGCTCACCCACCAGAAGACCAAGCCCTTTGTGTGCATCGAGCAGGGCTGCGGCAAGAGCTACTGTGACTACCGCTCGCTGCGGCGGCACTACGAGGTCCAGCATGGCCTGTGTGTGCTCAAGGAGGCGCCCCTGGATGAGGAGGCCCTGGTGGACTCCCCCCATGCCCATGAGGCGGCCGGCCTGCGGCCCCTGGTACCCCCCGAGGCCCGCTCACCCGGCTCGCTGCTGCCCAGCCGGGACCTGCTGCGCTGTATTGTCAGCAGCATTGTGCACCAGAAGATGCCGTCCCCAGGCCCCGTGCTGGCTGATGGCGAAGGGAGGCCTGCGGCCTGCCCCTGCCCACCCCCCACAGGGCCCCCCTGCACCCTGGTGGGCACCCCCACCGTCCCTGAAGGGCCCGACGAGCCCCGCTCTCTGCGGAAGGAGCCTGCAGACACCCGAGCAGCAGAGAATGGCGGCCCTGACCTGGCCGAGGCCGAGCCTGTGCCGCTCCAGCTACCATCCACCCTGGAGGCCTGGCCCGACAGCAGCCCCCTGCCCACTTGCCTGCCCCTGTTCCGAGGCCAGGCTGGCCCTTCAGGCGCACCACCAGCTGGCCATGGCTTCCAGTGGCTGCGGAACCTGCCGGGCTGCCCCAAAGGCAAAGGCAACAGCCTGTTTGTGGTGCACAAGCCACCCACCGGGCTGGCCCGCGAGGGCCCACAGGCCGGCTCCACGCCTTCTCCCGATGAGCCAGAGCCCCTGCCCAGCTCAGGGCCTGGCCTGGAGGAGGCGCTGCCCTTCCCACCCTCACTCCTAAAGGTGTCTGGGGAGGTGGTGGGCGACCCCCGCTACGCTGGAGGGGATGACGACAGCTGGGCAACCAAGAAGAGCAAGTTTGAGAGCGAGGCCCTGGCCTGGCCCGGCCCCGCGGAGCTGGGCGCACTGCCCCCCGACGCCACCCCGCTCTTCCGCCAGCTCTTCCTCAAGTCACAGGAGCCAATGGTGAGCCCCGAGCAGATGCAGGTGCTGCAGATGCTTGCCAAGTCCCAGCGCCTCTTCCCGCATGCGCCCGGGACAGCTGGGTCCTGGCCGCAGCAGTCCCCACTCCTGCCACCTGCTGCAGCTGATGCTGTGCACATTGGGGCCGGGAACCCTGAGCCCGAGGGCTCCCCAGCCCGCCGGAGGAAAGGCTCGGCCACCTTCCCCAGGGAGGCCTCCCCGGGCAGCAGCAGACGCGATTCCAAGGGAGGTGCCAAGGCAGCTGCCACTCCCCTACCCCTTGGGGCTGCACCTCTGGACACCCCCGGGAACCCCGACCTCTCCTCTCTGGCCAAGCAATTGCGATCATCAAAAGGTACTTTGGACCTGGGTGACATCTTCCCTGCCGGGGGCCCTCGGCAGGCTCCGCTGAGCGGGGACGAGCCCCCCGGAGTTCAGCTGGGCGGGAAGCAGGCCCAGGCTGAGAATGGCGTGGCCTCAGGGACTGCCAAGGCTGAGAAGGTCCCGGCCTGCTCCCGTGGTGGCTACCGGCTACTTCCGAGCAACCCCCGCGCCCAGCGCTTTTCGGGCTTCCGGAAGGAGAAGGTGAAGATGGACCTGTGCTGTGCTGCATCCCCCAGCCAGGTGGCCATGGCCTCTTTCTCCTCAGCTGGGCCACCTGTGGAGGCCCCCCGCGACTCCAAGTCCAAGCTGACCATATTCAACCGGATCCAGGTATCTGCCAGGGGTCTGCAGGCTGGATCTGGGGTGCTCAAGTCCCCCTACCCTCTCGTCCTCTGGTTCCTCCAGCTGCTCTAAGCCTCAGGGGCAGGTCACAGAGGTGAAGGTTCAGGGAGGGCCCCCCCAGACCCCTAAACACAGAGTCGCGGACCTGACCAGCCGCTCTCCCTGGCCCTGCTCTCAGCTTTCTTGCTTTCGCCTCTCCTTCCTTTTGGACCAGCCCCACTGCTGTTCCTCAGGGGACCCCTGTGTTGCGGTGGCACCTCCTTCACCCCTCTCGTGATGGTGGGGCAGCATGCCTGCACCCAAGAGTGCCTCCTAACTGTCTCTACACAGCCCCCACTTCCTTGGTGGAGTTTTGTTGGTTGGTACCCGGTGGGCCACAGTGTACTGGGGAGGGACTCTTCTCCATCCTGTTGAGCACTATCTGTTCTGAGTCAGTAGGGACACATCCCTCCATCCCGGGGGGATGTGCACCATCCGCGAGCTTCCAGCACAGTCCATGGCTGTGCCTAAATCGCAACTGTTCGTCAAAATACTGTCATCACTCCAGAAAACACCCACACCCCTTAGTTGTCATCCCTCTGCTCCAGGGCCTCCAGCCTCAGGAAAAGGAGCATCTGCTTGCCTGCCTGAGAGCCGCCGCCCATCTGGGCACTGCCTGGCCACAGAGCCCTGCGCCATGGCCTGCTGGGCTTGGCCTATTTGTAGCTTCCAGGGCTGTCAGCCCTTTGAGAGCTGAATCCTGACACCTGCAGCAGCCCATTTTTGTATGTCACTGTCACTGTCCTCCCATTGTTCATCAATTTGCTCGAGCGGGCCCAGTAATGTCTCCATCGTGAGACTTGTTGTTACTGTGTTTGGCAGGCAGAATACTTTCGGTAGCTTGCCGGGCTCTCTGAGAGGGGCGGAGGAATCGAACTCGGGTCGGCCATGTTGGCTGCTTGCAAGGCAAATGCCCTACCCGCTGTGCTATAGCTCCAGCTTTGTATTTTTGTATGTATGTTAGTGTTTGTATATATGGTATACATGTGTGTGCGCATGTGTGTGTCTGCTGTATGTATGTATGCATGTGCATGTGTGTATGCATGTGTGTGTGTGTCTGTGTACCTGTGTCTTTGTGTTTGCACGTGTGCATGCAGTTTGTGCATATGGTGTATATGCATGTGTGTGCATGTATCTCTGCATGTGTGTGTATCTGTGTGTACATGTGTGTCTATGCATATGTGTCATTCTCTCACTATAGGCTTGCTGTGATGGGCTTTGCCCCAATCACACGGCATTGTCCCGTGCCTTTCTCTTCCCCGTCCATCCCTTTTACACAGATTCCCAGCCCTCAGGCCCTGTCCTGTGGGTTGAAGGCATTCTCCTTCGCAGAGTCTGCCTGGAGCCCCGTTTTTCTGTCTCCTGTTTTGTTTTGTTGGGAGGCCTTCCAGGGAACCCTGTGCAGCAGGCATGGCCCTAAGTTGTGTGCCTTTGGGGGTTTTCTCTTTGGCGCAATGGTCTGTTGGCTCAGGCATGTTCTGCTCCTCAGGGTGGAAACATCTACAGGCTCCCTCACCCCATAAAAGAGGAGAACATAGCCAGCAGCTGGTGAGTGCAAGGCCCCACCTATTCCACCCAGGGTGGGGCTGAGTTTGGAGGGGTCCCTGCTTCTGGTGCCTTCCCGTGCTACTCCCACGAGCTTGAGACCCCGGTGCTTGCAGAGAGTGGCACAGATGAGCACAGGGCCTTCATGTGTCCATCGTTTCATGGGTCAGACTAAAGCACAGGCCCGTGGTGTGGCCTGGTGCCAAAGCCCTGGGTGCAGACACAGCGTGGTCTGTGCTTTTATCTCCCTCGGAGGGTGGATCAGAGCCCCTTCTCCCCTTTCCTGTCACGTCTCCCCACAGTAGCCAGCAGAATGGGGGCCCTCCTGACCGGGTGGAGTCCCGGAGCACCTATGTCTGCAAGAACTGTGGCCAGATGTTTTATACTGAGAAGGGGCTGGGCAGCCACATGTGTTTCCACAGTGACCAGTGGCCATCCCCTCGGGGCAAGCAGGAGCCACAGGTAAAGGGACACGGGTGGTATGCACTGCACTTGCAGGCTTCCAATAGGCCGAGTGTCAGTCTGGGTGCTGGGTTGTGCATCCCCACTTTGGACCGGCGCAGCCGTTCTGTGCACCCCCTTAACGTTGTTTCTCTTGGCTCCACCTGTTCCCCGTGTCCAGGTGTTTGGCTCAGACTCTTGCAAGCCTCCAAGACAGGTGCTGAGACCCGAGGGGGACAGGCAGAGCCCCCCAGGAGCCAAGAAGACTTTGGATGGCCTGGCAGCAGCCCCAGTAGTAGCCTCTGTACCTGTCCCTGTGGCTTCCATGAGCCGGCCCCCTGGGAGCACAACCAAGGTAGGCTCCTGTCCAACATTTGCTTCTTTCCCCTCTTCTCACACAGACATGGAGGGCACAGCCAAACTAGAGCCAGGGGAGATCCTGACTCGGGAAGTTCCCCCTGCATGCTCCTGCCCCCACCCCCAGCTCAGTTTCACTCCTGGCAGGGCCCATGCAGGGTGGGCAGGGTTAGCAATGGCAGAGCAGGATGTGGGAGCCCAAAGAGGGTGCCTGAAGCCCAGCCTGCAGTGATCAGGGAGGACTTCTTGGAGGATGGGGTTTGGACTAAACCATGATATTGTGGAGGAGCAAGACTCAGAGAAGAGGAAGTCAGAGTATTCTCGCACCAAATGGCCCGTGTCTCTGCCCGTGCAGGAGGCTTCCACCCAGAGGAACCCATACTGGCCCAGGGGCAGGGAACCGGAGGGTGAACATGGGGCGTCCTGTTGCAGGACCTGATGTCACTATGAGGGGAATGTGCTTCCCTCCGCACCTGCATCCCGCTCCTGGGGTGCCCCTCTGTCTCCTGCAGCTGCCCTCTCACATTCCCCAAATCCCACTCCTGCATTTCTCGCTAGGCGTGAGGCCCCAGCTCAGAACATGGGACATAGCACACTGGGTGGGCCCCCACTCCTCACCCTTTTTCTTGTCCTGGGCCACCTTGAAAACTTGACTCCATGGGTACCCTCCCATACTGCTGAACTCTCCCCTCTAGGGACAGGAAAGGGAGCGGGAGGAGAGAGATGGCAAGGAGAGCCCACACCGGAAGCGGAAGAAGCGCCCCCAGCCCAAGGCCCTGCTCATCCCCCCACCGCCCGCCCCGACGTTTGGGGAGCTGGGCACCGGGGGCTGCCACCAGAGCTGCTTGCGTTCCCCCGTGTTTCTGGTGGACCGCCTACTGAAGGGGCTGTTCCAGTGCTCACCCTACACTCCGCCACCCATGCTCAGCCCCATCCGTGAGGGCTCGGGGCTCTACTTCAACACACTGTGCTCCGTGTCCGCCCAGGCCGGTCCCGACAGGCTCATCAGTGGCACGTTTGGTGAGTGGGTGCTGCAGCTGCGTGGGAGTAGTCTTGCATGGCCAGCCTACTTCCATGGTTCTCCAGGGCCGTGGCAGTGCAGGAGCCGCAGGTCCTGCTGCTGTCCAGTGGGATCCTGGGGCCCTTGGGGCCTGCAGCTAGTCTAGATTCTGCGCATGCACTCATCTGCAGTTTAGGCCTTGCCATGCTCTTCTCCCATTGAACTTAAGGTGTTTTCTGTGTGGTCCATAGCCCAGTAGAGACCAATGGCTTGTTCTCTTTTGTTGCCAAGCTCCAGTTCCACCTTCCACGGAAGCCAGGTTGTCCAACAGCGGCTGGTCCCTGGCTCTCTTTAACTGGGAATGAGTTTGCCTTCAATTTAGTAAGATCCCTGCTGGAGGTCAGAGTCATGGTAGCCATTTCTGGAAAGCCCCAACTGTCACCCGATGTTGCCCCTAGTTTGGGATGAGAAGCACCACCCTCCCCCTGGGTCCTCATGTGCAGTGGAATGGCTCTTCTCTCTGCTTTCCTGGCTTGTCCTCCCGCATAGCTGCAGAGAGTTGTGGCTGATGTGTTGGAGTAGAGAGCTGCTTGTGTTTGTGCTGCTTGCTTCGGGAGCTGGCATGAGCATGTCACTTGATTTTTAGTCAAATTGGGACACTGCAAACATGATGGAACACTGCCTTCCCCTCCTGCTCCTACTGTTTGCAGTGTCCTGATGAAATCCCCACCATTCTCTGAGATGCTCCTGATTTTCCTTCACCCTTTTCTCTCTAGTCTTTGGATTTCATCATTTCCACTGACAGGCCCGCAGGTTGGCTGTCCCTTTATCTGGCCAGCTCAAATCTGCTCTTGATCCTCACCTTGGTTATTGTACATTTATTTATTTATTTATTTATTTATTTATTGGGTTTTTGCACCACACCCAGCGGTGCTCAGGGCTTACTCTTGGCACTGTGAATTATTCCTGGCGGTGTTCAGGGGACTATATGGGATGCTGGGGATCAAACTCAGGTGCAAGGCAAGTGCCCACCCCGCTGTACTGTATCTCTGCCCCCCAATTTGTTGCCTTTCAATTATTATTTGGGACGCACACCTGATAGTTTCCTGATAGTTTCTTCCAAATCCCAATCATTTGGGGGCCATGGAATGCATCCAGGATTCTGGTAGGCAGAGTACATCAACCAGCACTTTGCATCGTATCGCCAGCCCTAAGGACTGTTACTGACCTTGTTTCTTTAATGAGAAACATTTATTATGTGGGCTGGAGTGATAGCACAGTGATAGGGCATTTGCCTTACAAGCGGCCAACATGGTTGACCCGAGTTCGATTCCTCCACCCCTCTCGGAGAGCCTGGCAAGCTACTGAGAGTATCTCACCCGCACGGCAGAGCCTGGCAAGCTACCCGTGATGTATTCAATATGCCAAACACAGTAACAAAAAGTCTCATGATGGAGACGTTACTGGGCCCGCTCAAGCAAATTTATTATGCACTTGGTTGTTGGCATGCTGGGGGTGTGGGGTCCCTAGCTCCTTGTCGGTGCAAACATGTCGAACTCCCCTTTGATAGAGCCAGGGCCTGGGCAGGGAAAGTTGCACAGACTGTCACTGTTCTTAACACATGCCAGTCAATATCTGTGAGTTTGAATGCTCCTGAAGATCCTGTTAGCCAGGCTGGAGAGAGAACACAGTGGGGAGGGTGCCTGCCTTGCATGTGGCTATCCTGGGTCCAGTCCACAGCACTGCAGAAGGTCCCAGTAGCCTGCCAGAAGGGATCCCTGAGCACAGAACCCGGAGGAAGCCCTGAGCACCACCAGGTGTGACCTGAACAAGGTCCTAACAAACAAACGCTTTTTCATCCAGTCCATTTGTCTATCTCCTTCCTCTACTCATTCCAATGTCCTGTGGCCCTCCCTGCAACAGAGCTGTTTGGGGTGATGTGGTCACCCTCTTGCCGTGTCTGCTCTGTGGCCTCCGGCTTTGTGTTGAACCTGAATCCCAAAGGCTGATTCACAGACCCCACCCAGGATCCCAGTATCCCGCCTCTCTTTGGTCATGTTGAAAAGCTTTTTCAGGTAATTGGTGTAAGCGCATCACACACTGTGTCTCTGTGACTTCGGTTACTCAGACAAGTGTCTTCAAGGCTTCTCACCTTGAGGTAAAAGAACTTCTTGTCCCTATGTCATGCACATATGCTTTGTTCTCTCTCTTCTCTGGTTTTTAGGCTACAGCATCCCTGCCTCGACCCCAGTGGCTGGTGTTGTGAGGCCATGACATGTGACCTCCTCGGGGTCCTTCTCTCCATCCTTGGGTTCCACACTTGGAAGTGGGTGTAGTGGATTGTTGGGGCGTTCTGCTGTGATGATTTGAGGTGCCCTCGGAGCCTACTCTTGACTGTGCTGGACAGTGGTCAGGAGGCAGCCTCCCCTGGGCATTCTTTGTGTTTCCTAGACCAAGGGGATGGCAGCATCAGTGTCTCCGTGCTGAAGGACGATACCAAGATCAGCATCGAACCGTGAGTCCAGCCAGCTGAACCACCTGGGGGCCTCCACAAGCTGGTTTATCTGCCTCCTTGAGACTTGGGGCAGACACAGCCACCTCGGAGAAATGTGGGGGAGTTCCTGGGGACCCCATACTCCTTCTGTCTGGGCCAACTCTAGTGGGGCTGCAGGGATTCAGTGCCCAGCACCCCAGGGTTCCAGGAGGAACCGGCGACTCTCATGCTCACACCCAATGTTCAAGGACTGTGTCTGCATGGTGGGGGCCACGTGCCAGGTACCCCCCTGTCCCCAACCCCAAGAAAGACACCTGAGGCCAAAGGACGTCTCATCCAGGGAGGGGCTGGTGTGAGGGTTGTGGGATGATCTGACCCTAACTACCCACCCCTCAACACCCCCAAGTGCAGCTCTCCAGCCCCTGAGCAGTGCTGCATCCTCAAGTCCTCACCTTGCACCCTGGACCAGTGCTGAGGGTCCCGAGAGAGGGGCCTGAGAGAGGCTCTACAGGCCTGTGTTTGTGGGAGGCCAGCAGGGTGCCAATTCCACCTTCCTGGTGGGCCCCCTGACCTGACTTGTGTGGTTCCCCCAGGCATATCAACATTGGCAGCCGGTTCCAGGCTGATGTGCCGGAGTTGCAGGAGCGGCTGCTGGCCGGGGCAGATGAATGTGGTGCTTCCCTGGTCTGGAAGCCATGGGGAGACGTGATGAACAACCCAGAGACCCAGGACAGAGGTGGCTGGGTTGGGGGTCCTCCCTGACCCTCAGGGGCCTGACACCCAGACTTGAGGGGGCAGGAGAGGCCCAGGCTGATGTCCACGTCTCCTCCCTCCATCAGTGGCCGAGCTCTGCAACGTGGCCTGTTCAAGTGTGATGCCAGGAGGGGGCACCAACCTGGAGCTGGCACTGCACTGCCTGCACGAGGCTCAGGGCGATGTGCAGGTGGGCCTGGGCCCCAGGGTACAGGCTGGGGGCAGGGCGCAGCTGCACCCACAGGAGTAGCCGTGCATCCTCCTCCCCTGTGAACTGGGAGGCCTGGGGTGCTGGGGACAGATCAGGGTCCTCCACTGAACCAGTTCTCCCTCAGGGGAGGGGAGTCCTACCCAGCCCCACATGGATCCCCTTTATTTCTGAACTTCATCCTTAACATAAAAAAACCCATGTCTGGACCCAGGATATGCCACAAAGGGTGGGATCCCAGGCTTGATCCCCAGTACTGCAAGGTCCCCAAACCCCACCTGGGGTGACCCCAAACCCTGATCCCCAGATGTAGCTTCCAGGCACTGCCAGGCATGGCTCCCAAACCAGAAAAACCATTGGCTGCTGCCGAGTGCTGGATGACCCTCAAAGGGGCTGTGACGGGCACATAACAGAAAGCTGGTTGTGGCTCCCAGCACCCCCAGGAAACCCCACACTAGGTGGGTGCCTGCTTGGGGACAGTGTCAGGCAGGGGCGCCAAGCATAGGAGCTGTTCCCTGTGCACCTCCTGCCAGGCCTCTTGTTGCAGGTCGCTCTGGAGACTCTCCTGCTCTCTGGTCCCCAGAAACCACGGACCCACCCCCTTGCCAACTACCGCTACACAGGTGCTTGGGGTTGGGTCTCAGGTTCTCCTAGGGGAGCCCTTGGCTGGGAGGGGGACACATAAGTGTCTTGAGCAGCTGCTCTGGAGCAGCCCCAAGTGCTGCATCTGGAGGGGGCCATGCTGTGTGGGGTTCAGGAAGGGGCATTGGTGAAGGACAGTGGGGTCCCAACTGGAGAGACATCCCAGCCCTGCTTGCCCTTTTTGCTAGGTTCTGATATCTGGACCCCTGTGGAGAAGAGGCTCTTCAAGAAGGCCTTCTGTGCCCACAAGAAAGACTTTCACTTGATACACAAAACGGTAATGTGGGTGCAGACAGGCTGGCCAGGGCAGAGCACCTCCGTCATTGCACCTCCAGCCACACCAGTACTGAGGCTCCTCACAGCAGACTGCATGACTGCATGCAGTGCCAGAGTGAACTGTGCAGCCCTGAGAGAAAGCATGAGGGGGGATGGCGAGTACCTTGTACACAGCCAACCCAGGTTCGATCACCAGCATCCCATTAGGCCTCACCCCTACCCGAGCCCTGCCAGGAGCCATCCCTGAGGAGCCACCCCTGAGCACAGAGCCAGGAGGAAGCCCTGAGCACCACCCAGTATGACCAAAGAAAATTCCAGAAATTAGTAACTCATCTGCTCTTAGCTGTGCATTGCCCTGAACAGTGGAGAACTTGGCCAGCCATCTGCTCTGACCACTTTTCCCGGAAGTGAATCCTCCCTTGTCCTCTGTGCACAGGGGCACACAGCCCCTGCCCACAGTTCTGGGACCACGTTTTCTGTGCTTTCCTCCCGGGAGTTGTGAGAGTGGCTGCGTTGTCACCATTGTTCTCTCCCCCTGCGCCTCACCTGCAAGTCAGGCTTCACTGAAGGAGCAGACATGGCTCAAACAGACCTCGTGGCTCCACGGCCTGGGTGTCCATCTAGGGGGTCTTGGGCCTGAGAAGATCTCGAGTCAGCAAAGCCTCCTACTAGCCTGGTTTCTTGCACTCTGCATTGGTACTGCCCCATGTGCTAAGTCTTCATGCCTTCTTCCTTCCTTGGGCCACACTGGGTGGTACCGAGCGGCTCTTCCTGGCTCAGTGCTTGGGGTGACCCCTCATGTGCTGGGAGGACCTCATGATACTGTGGATGGAACCGGGATCTGCTGAGCTCACGGCTTATTAACCCTACCCTGGATCTTGGGAACTTGGCATGTCTTTGTGGGAATGATATTTTATATACCTTCTGGACAGTGCCAGGCCAGTCTGTGGTCCAGGTCTGTGTGGTTCAGATAAAGACATTGCTGCTGGACCAGCATTGTGAGAGCCTCCATCACCTAGGAGGCTGCCTCTGTAGAGAGACCGCTGGGGTTATTGGCCCCGCAGGGTTCCCTGGCTCCTGTGGCTCTGCCCATTGCCAGTTTCATTTCTTTCTTCCAGATCCAGACCAAGACTGTAGCCCAGTGTGTGGAGTATTACTACATCTGGAAAAAGATGATTAAGTTTGACTGTGGCCGAGCGCCTGGGCTGGAAAAGAGGGTCAAGAGAGAGGCAGAAGAGGCCGAGAGGACGGAGGCCAAGGTGGCAGTCCTGGGCCCTGGTTCCAGGGTGGGGGTGTCTGAGGAAAGATTGTGGGAAGACCCTCCGGTGGCTGCCTATGACTCAGAGCCTGCTTCTCCTATGGGGTGGGGAGGGGGTACACCAGGGCACCCACATGCTGTGTCGCCGCCTCTGCAGGTCACGTGCAGCCCTCGGGAGAGGCCCAGCCATCGCCCAACTCCAGAGCTAAAGATGAAGACCAAGAGCTACCGGCGGGACTCAATCCTCAACTCTAGTCCCAACCCGGGCCCCAAGAGGACCCCAGAGCCCCCAGGGAGCGTGGAGGCCCAGGGCGTGTTCCCCTGCAGAGAGTGTGAGAGGTACCTGTCCTATGCCCCACCCCCATGTCCCTGGCTGGCTCAGGTCCTCTGGGGACTCCTCAGGCCCTGCCTGCACCCCCTACCGCTGACCCGTGTCCTGTGGGGACTCCGAAGGCCTGCCTGCAATGCCCACCGCTGACCCCGGTCCTGTGGGGGCTTCGCAGGGTGTTCGACAAGATCAAGAGCAGAAATGCGCACATGAAGCGGCACCGCCTCCAGGACCACGTGGAGCCTGTGGTGCGTGTCAAGTGGCCAGTGAAGCCTTTCCAGCTCAAGGAGGAGGAAGAGGAGGAGGAGGAGCTGGGGGCGGGCATCGGCCCCCTGCAGTGGTGACCAGCGGGGCCGGGCAGTCCCTCCACGAGTGTCTAGGACCTTCTCTGACCATGCCCCACTCAGCCCTTAGGGCCTTAGAGCACAGTCCAGGGAGCCGCGACTCCCTGGGGCACCAGAGGCTCCTCTCCCTGGGGTCCTGCGCAGGACTGGGAAGGAGCCGGTTCCATCCCGGGAGTGATTCCATCTGAGCCCCAGGCTGGGGATTTGGCTCCGTTTGTTAGGTAAGCCCAGAGAATCAGTGGGAAGATGCTTCAGATCTCCGACCAGTGGGGCCCCTCCTGGGTTGGGGAGGGGTCTCTCTCTGCAGTTTTGATTCAGTCCCTAGTCTTGCGATGACTTGTACATGTTGGGTGTTTTTTTTTTTTTTGTACGTGTCCACTTGTAAATCGTATTAAATTGGGTTCTTGAGCTGCTGTGCTATCTGCTGTATCCCTTGACCCACCCATCCAGCAGAGACCTTGGGGCTCTGCCACTAGCTGGGGACACAGATGGGTGGGCCAAGTCCCTGCACTAGGGTCCACCCCTCCCAAAACTCCATAATCCATGGGGGAGCAAGGAGATCAGCCCTGCGGGGAGAATGAGCCAGTGGTGCCCCTCAAGGCTTCAGGGATTGGTCAGGGAATAAGGGGCAGGGGTTCTTCGAAAGTGTTGACTGTGCAAATATCAGCAGTCAGGAGGGGGGATGCCAGGAATCCAGGCTTCCTGGCCCATCCTCACCATCAGCCACCTTTTGGGCTGCGCCTTTCTCTTGCAAGTTCCCATTTTTTTAAGAGGGAGGAAAATCTGCAGCCAAAGGCCCCGTCATTTCTAGAAGGGTTTCTGGTAGTGAGAAAGGTAAGGACCCAGCTCTCCTGGCCACTTGGGCCATGTCCACACAGCTGCCCTGACTACTGCTCCAGACTGGACTTCTCTACCACGAAGAGAAGAGGAAGTAGAAATGGATGCTGGGCAGGCATACCTTGTGTCTGACACAAAGAGGCTGGATTCATGGGGATTCACTCGGTGTGGTGGACAGCGAGGGTCGGCCTCGCTGTGGGACTCCAGTGTGGGAAAGCAGTGATGGTTGTCTAGAAACAAAGGGAAAAACAAGGGCCAGAGAATAGAACAGCAGGTCCTATTTGCCTTGCACATGGTCAACCCAGGTTTGATCCCCGGCATCCCATAGGATCCCTCAAGCACCACCAGGAGTAAATCTGGAGCGTAGAGCCAGGAGTAACCCCTGAGCATCTCTGGGTGTAGCCCCAAATCGAAACAAAACAAAAAGGGAAAAACAAGTGATGAGAGCCAGGACTGGGCAGCGTGACTGGAAGCTTAGGAGAGGCCAGAAGCTGTGAGGTGGGTGGTGGTGACCGGGGCTGGGGCGGCAGAGCAGAGAAACAAAGGCAGGACAAAGCACACATCTTTCAAATTTTTTGTTTTGTGGGCTGGAGCGATAGTAGAGTGGATAGGGTGTTTGCCCAGCATGCGGCCGACCCGGGTTCGATCCCCGGCATCCCATATAGTCCCCCAAGCACCACCAGGAGTTATTCCTGAGTGCAGAGCCAGGAGTAACCCCTGAGCATTGCTGGGTATGACCCAAAAAAGAAAAAAAATTGTTCTGTTTTTTGGGACACACCCAGAGGTGTTCAGCTGTTACTCCTAGCTTTGAACTCAGGAATCACCCCGCAGTGGGCACAGGGGACTATGTGGGGTACTTGTGTGCCAGGGAAGTACCCTCTCTGCTATACTATAGCTCTGCCCCCTGAGGGTTGCATCCCACAGGTCAGAAGGAGGATAAGGCTGGCATTGGAGTTTCAGGGCATGAGCAGCCACGCAGAAGCCTTATCTCAGGAACTGAAGAGGTTCTAGTGCTCTCCCCACTGCCACTCTGGAAGCACAGCACCACCCAAGGTGGCCTGGCATCCTGCAGGGTCAAAAAGGTGGGGGTGGGGGGTGGCTAAACAGAGGATGAAGTGGTGTTTGCAGGGTTTTGACACTGTGGTTAGGGGAAAGGCCTGGGGCGTCTAAGTCACAATGTCCAGCCTGACCGCCCTCTTCCTCTCCTGTGCCCATGACCAATTCACTTTCCCTGCCGGAGCCTCCGTGTTCCTGTTCTGTAAGGTGGGAAATGCCTGCCCCCCGTGGCTCCTTCCGAAGAATTAAGTACTGGGCAGGATGCAGCACCACAAATGGGGATTGGTCAGGGAATGAGGGGCAGGGGCTCTTCACAAATGGTGACTCCGCATAAATATCAGCGTCAGGAGGCAGGATGCTAGGAATCCGGGATCCGCAGAACCCAGCATTCAACCCCGAGACACAGGGCACCTTCCTGGCCCATACTCACCACCACCCCCCTTTTGGCCTGTGCCTTTCCCTTGCAAGTTCCCATTTTTTAAGAGGCAGGAAAATTAACAGCCAAGGGCCCCTGTCATTTCTAGAAGGATTTCTGGTAGCGAGAAAGGGAAGGACTCGGCTGTTGATCTGCAGCATGTTCTAGCCACAACTGTGACTGTATAGGTTTGCTATGAATAGCAAGGGGTGCTCTGTGGTGTGAAGAGTGGGTATGATGGTAACCACTGCTACATAACAAATTACTCAGGAGTTGAACAGCTGGGAGCAAACGGAAGCTTCTCTAACAGGGCCACCCCCACAGGCCCCAGGAACCGAAACTGCTTGAAGCAATTCAGGCCCAACCGCACCTGCTCTTGGGTCAGAACACACTGGTGACCACAAGTGGGTTGTCCTTGGGTGTCAGAATGTGGGAGGAGATGGGGGCTGGAGTAATAGCACAGTGGGTAGGGCATTTGCCTTGCACGCGGCTGACCCGGGTTCGATTCCCAGCATCCCATATGGTCATCCGAGCACCGCCAGGGGTAATTCCTGAGTGCAGAGCTAGGAGTAACCCCTATAACCCCTCTGCCTTGCCAGGTGTGACCCAAAAAGCAAAAAAAAAAAGTGGGAAGAGAGTTGGGGAAGCTTTCTTCTGTCCCACAGTTCTCAGCCACTCCCACCCTTCCATAAGAGCAGTTCTATAGTCCATAGTCCCTGAGATATCTGTAGCCTAATCATCTGGGAGAGTCCCATCCACTAGCACTACCAATTCGTTTTCTGGTCTTTCACTGCAGAATTTCATAACAGGAATCAGTGAGGGCCAACCACTGGAATCTGGATCTTCAAAAAGTAGTTTTATTCAGTAAATAGTTTAAGGGTTTGGGGATAGAGTGATAGTACTGCGGGTAGGGTGTTTGCCTTGCACACAGCTGACCTGGGTTTGATACCCATTGTTTGATATGATCCCGTGAACTCACCAGGAGTAATTCCTGAATGCAGAGCCAGGAATAATCCCTGAGTATTGCCTGGTGTAACCCCAAAACAAAACTAAATCTTTTTGTTACTATTAGTTACTAATAGTTTACAGAAAATGTGGAGAGGTGGTGCAGAGTTCCTTAAACACACCCAGATCCCCTGTAATACACTTAGATTAGTATGGCACTTTTCTTACCACAAATGAACCATTAGTGATACATTGTTAATAAAAAGAGCCCATATTTTATTCAGACTTCCTTGGTTTTAGTGGCATGTCTCTCTATTCCAGGACTTCCCACGAACACTTCTTAGCATTTGTAATTTTTCCTTAGGCTTCTCTTGGCTCTGACAGTTTTTCAGGCTTTCACTGTTGTTGATGACCTTAGCACTTTGAAGGAGGCATTAGGAGAAAGTGCTTCTGCTGGGATGTGTTTAGACTAGGAGGAAGCCCACAGAGGGCAAGTGCCATTTTCATCAAACTGTCCTGAAGGTACCAGCTGTACCTATGCACTGCTGATGGGAACCACAGCAACTAGCTGGTAGCGTTCTGTTTCTCTGCTGTGGACTTGGGCCCCTACCTCCTGCCCTCTGAAGGAAGTCACCAGTGCATAGTCCACACAGAGAAGTCATGCTCCACCCTGAGAGTGCAGTACAGATTATTAGAGTTTTGTACAGAATATTCTACCCCACTTAAGTGCCCCATCGTTTATATCATCGAGGTTCGTGGATTTCTTCTACATTCGATTATAAATCAATACTATATTTTGTTGCTAAAAGCATTAGTTTTGGTCACTGGGAGTTGTTTCTTCAACATCGCATCGGGTGTGTGTTGGGGGCTGTGAGACAAGCGCACCAGCCTTTCTGGTATGAATCATGTTCCATAATTTCCTGCCTAGTTTTAGAACTAGTCATATATCCAAGGAGCCTGGCTCCTTTCACTGGAGAGTGTTGTTCAAAACCAAGATCTGGCCACGAGGTGTGCCTAAGCCTGAAAGAAAAGGTTTAAAGTTTTATGGCAGGGGAGGCCTGAACTACAGCTGGCGATGTTCTGGGACCCCATGTAGCACCAGCAGCAAGCAGGGGTCGGCTGCATGCAAATCAAGAGTCTTAACCTTTCCTATCTCTCTTGGCCCCTAAAAACCTGAATTTTTAACACTCCCCGCTCCAATTATTATTTTAATGAAACAGGATTTTGAAAACGCCTCAGTTCAGTATTCTCTCTAGTTTCAGTACTTCACTGGTCTTCCGGAACCAATTTCACCGTGGTCGGCAGAGGGCGCAAGAAAAGGCAGCTCGGTTTCCTTTCCATTTCCTAAGCCAACCGAAGGATTGTTACAAGCTCTGAAGGGGCGTGGAGGCGGGAACCAGACTGCGCAAGAGCTGTCAAACCCTGACGTGGGTGGGGAACCTCTTCCGGCAAAGGCGGCGGGGATATCACGTGACGACACGTGGTCAGCTGACTAGCGCTCAAGTTTCGCAGAAGGGACGGGCTAACCGGTGGCCTTCGATAATAGGTGGAAGCTGCTCCAGCCGCGGAGCCCTCTGGGGTGGGTCCTTTGACAGCAAGGGCGATGATAGGCTTACGCCACGTCACGTGTTGGCCGTAAGGTTCACCCGGAAGAGAGCGAGGAGGTCACCGAGGAGGAATGCGCTTGCGCGGAGGCTTCGAGTCGGGGATTGGCAGCCGTGAGTCACGGGATGACGCGCTCGCGGCC